TCTTACGTTTAGGCTCAACCGCTTGGCCAAACACCTTGGAAACAACTACTAAAAACAAATCTGCTCTCAACAAAACAACGCCCAGCTTCGCTCCCATGCAATCCCACGCCCAACGGAGACGAGGAGAGAGAGATTATGGTTTTGATTTTTCCCAGAGTGTTGCACAAGCGGTTGGCCTAAACGTAAAGCGAACCCCTCTCTATGTTTTATTTCTCATTTGCCCTTGTCCTAATAGTTTTCAATCTTAACATGCTTTATTTCAAGAATTTCGTGCAAAATTCTATTTCATTCCATTTAAAGCCAATTATCTAGTCCTACAATAGCACCCTCCTATTTGCCTACATCACGCACTTCTCCTCCGGTTGAAGGAGAGCTCTATTCACACTGTGAGCTAATACATGATTCTCCAGTTTCACTACGCGCCAAACCCCGAGACTTCTCACTCCAATTCCTGAGAACACTTAACGCTCTGCGTACTGTTAGTATTGAGGTCATAATCTCCTTTCTTTTGCTTCGAATTTGGCCCTGAGTAATATTTGCGTTTTCCCTCTTTTCATAACTTAATGATAAATAAGTTACACTCCCTCATCTGAAAGTTTAGCTATAACTCTTTTTGAAATCGATCGATAGACTAGCCTTGGGAAGAACGAAGCTGTTGGTTGGTAATCTTGGACTTCCAAGATTACCCATGGCTGACTCTTCATCACCCCACCAATGACTCCAAGTGGCATTCATAGGTTTCAATGATCCATTACAAAATGAAACAGACACGCAAAATAAACATAACACAACACTAGACAAATCACACGACTAATCCACATAGGATTCAAAACCTATGTGGCTCCTGATACCAAAATTGATGGGCCACAAGAATCTCATTGCAAGACAACAAATTAAAACATTCTTTATAACGATATTTAAACACGTCTGGAGAGATCTTGAAAACGAACTAAAGATTAAACATGAACTACCCTCATGAACAACCAACTAAGCTGGACTCACGCATCACACTGTAACATTTGATCAAAGAATAGGCAAATTAGAGCCTGCTCTTCTAGTATACTGCAACCAGCGACGTCCCACCATTAACAATACTTGATTCAACTCGCAACCAACTGGCCAACAACAACACCTCAAACGCTTTTTAATAAGAGAAGAAAGATCAAATGCACGGGTGGAAACTTGGCGGAGAAAGACATAGCGCCTAAGCCCCCAATGCCGACAGACAAGTTTTATCAGAAGGGGCGAAGAGCAATGGGCCCATACTCGCTTGCCACAGCTAATCCAAAAACGCCTCAGGTTTAGTTTGCCACAAAAATCCACCTCCATAACACACATTATTCAACAGCCTCAACCCCATATAAATAGTCGAAAGAAGCCAAAAGACCCCCAAAGCAGCCGTCCCTCTCCAGCCCAACCAAAAGCCCAGACAGCCATAAATCCAAGGAAAAACAAGGTTTCGGACCAGCCACAGGAACCAAGCATCCCACGCATACCAAAGCCAGCCGCCCCCTCCCCCGCCCCCCATTCGCAGCAAACCGACGAACAGCCCACCTTAGAAGCGCAACCAGAAACGTGACAAGACTGACAGCAGCCAACACATAGCTCCCCAACACAGGAACCAAAAGCACGAACGACGCGATCCAATACAGACCCACAAGATGCAGTCGA